TTTATGTCTTTTTTTGCTTTATCCCTTTTTTGCTTGAACAGGTAATAAATTTAAAAATTCAACCATTCAAATCAGCCTAACTGATTCAATTACTATAATTGTCAATGGTCCAAATACTTCCTATTTGATATTGTCTACTCATATTACAGTAATAAGAAAAAAATGCATTTCATCAAATTTATGAAATTATGTTGAACATTCATATTAAATAAATAACAGGCAATAAATTTGAAAGTTCAACCATTCAAATCAGTAATCATAATTTACTTTTCTAGAATTATTATGTAAAATTAAGTAATTTTAATTGTCTTCTTATTTTTACCTTCCATAGTATAATGTAGTAATTTATTTCAAATTTCAAAAAAAATCAAATCTTTAATTTTAAATATACAATATCAATTTCTTTATGGTTGTATCACTTCAGAAACAGTTTTTGCATAATTAAAGAAAAATGAAGCCTGTTTGTATAATGTGATAACGATTAATCAATTCCAATATCTCAGATAGAAATTAATAGATTTGATGTATACGGTAGATAGATTAAGATGAAGAATGGCAGGGAAGAATGGGAGTGGGATAAACAACCAATGACGTTGCAGTGATTTGCCACAATCAATGCCACGCTGAGCACTGCTACTATTATTACATGTCGCATACATCGCTTTTTTAATTTCCAACATTCATTCTTTTATTTTTGCTTAATTACCTTTTTTGCTATATTAGTGATTAATTCCTTGGTTGTTTCATCCTCAACTCATTTATATTTTTTAATTATTCAAGTAATCGTTCGGTTGGTCATTATAAAATTTAAAAATTAATTTTATTTAAAATTTCATTTTTTGGAATTAATTTACGGATTATATAATCTATTTGCAAATTTGATTAAGCAGTTGAATTGATCGATAAGATTCTGGTTCTAAATTAATGACTTATTTTGCAAAATTTTAGAAAAAAAAATGCAAAATTTAAATTGAATTTGGAAAAAGTGTTTTAAAACATAATTTTTGGTGAAATTTTCCTTGTTATTGTAATATATTGAAGTAATTAATCAAATTTCACAGGATATTATCCGATGCAAGCCTTGCAGCAAAGTGCATTTCCTGTACGACAATTCTATACATCGTTGTCTGACAGTGATTCTGGAACAGGAAATTCGAATGCGAGCCAAATTGCATGGAATATACATTTGCGACAAGTAGCATTGAATTTGATGACATTGCAAAGGCTGCAAGCTGCAAGTAATGCAGAACGGATTATTCCTGAAAAGCAATCATATCCAATACATATAGCTTCTGCTGCGACTGTAAGCAGTAGAGAACGAAATGTACAATCTTGCACAACTTGCAACAAACTATTCATTAATGCATATTCATTAGAAGTAAATACTTTATTTTATTTTTTATTTTCAATCCAAAAAAAGAATGAGAACTTTTTAAACAACATGTAAGAAATTTTTTCCTAATATTGAATATCATATTGTTTGAACAATTAACAATTATAATTTAAATAATCAATAAATCGAATAATATCCTGAGAGAATTTTGACAGTTATCACAGAAAGTTGTTATTTTTTAATAACATTAAACTAATACTCACTTACTAACGGCATGAATTAAAAACAATTGTTTATTAATGAATTACTTATTCCCATTTTTCTTGCTTAAATATTTAAAGCATTATTGGTTAAAAAATAATACAATGACTTTTCATAAGAATTTATAAGCCAACAATTTAAGTAAGCATTATGGTAAGATTATTACAAACAAGTAATAATTTATAGTAAGATGACAATTTAACAACAACTAGTGTAAATAATGGTAAAAAACATAATTATCAAAATCCTGATACAAATTTATTGCTGATATTAGCTAACGCTTACAATATTTATATTTTTTCATCCGAATGAAAAAAGGATGAAGTTAAAAATATTATATTCTTTTCTTTTAAATTATTAATTTGAAAAGTGTCGTTTTTTAGCAGCATATGCTGGAGCAACATAATCAATGTTCGAAAATATCCGGTTCCGAGAAGCAATTCGAATGTAAGCAATGTGGTAAAACATTCAAACGTTCCTCAACTTTAAGTACTCATTTACTTATTCATAGTGATACAAGGCCATATCCATGTGATTATTGTGGTAAACGTTTTCATCAAAAGTCGGATATGAAGAAACACACATATATTCATACTGGTAAATAAGTTTAATTAATTAATTAACAATTCATTGCTTTGATGATTTACTAATTCAATATATTCCGATATCAAATTTCTTTTTAAATAAAATTTTTAATCAGTAAAGAGCTAAAATTTTAATCAGTAAATGCTCAGTAGCAATACTTCTTGTTCTAAAAAAGAAAAAAATTGAAAAAAATTTTTTGATACAAAAGTTGTAGGAAGTAACTCTAACATTAAATAATTTAATCATAAGTTTACTATTGATTGAAACGTTAGAATTTGTGCAATGATTTCAATTTATTAATTGTTAAAGATATGTGTTTCATTCACATAGCAAATGAATTAACGAATTATCGACAGCAAAGGCATACGTTTTTATGACTTCCATTTAATTATGGCAGCATCTGTTGGACATTTAATTCTTATCTTACCGAATAGAGGAAACTAATTTAATCAAAGATGAATAAGTGATTTAGGGAATGACTGTTTGAGCAATGAAGAGATCAATCATTGTTTTTCATTCTAAAAATTTCCTATTATTTTTTTAAAAAAGATTTCAGTAGATTTATTACTTGATAAACTTTGTAATTATCAGCAAAAATATTAAAAAAATAATATGTTGCTATTTAATAATTTTTATAATTATTGATTAGAAAAAATGAATCGATAATTTATTATTCTGCATTTCTTTAGATGTAACTACCATAATTAGAAAATATTACTAGAAGATATTATGTTAGAAGTATAACTTACTGTCCTGTCATTTAGTTATACTTGATGGATATCTTTGCCAGGTGAAAAACCTCACAAATGTATGGTATGCGGTAAGGCATTCTCGCAATCGTCTAATCTAATCACGCATTCACGTAAGCATACTGGCTATAAACCGTTTTCTTGTGATATTTGTGGTAGGACATTTCAACGAAAGGTTGATCGTCGTCGACATCGTGAAAGTCATCATTCTAACGATGTTTGCATCTATCGACGTTTGTTCTTATTTTCAAGAAAATTTTTTTAATTTTTAATTATTAGGTAGTTATCGTCAAATAATTATAAAACTTATGATAATAATGACAAGTAAATTAACTGAATCATTTTAATTTGTCTCATCAGTTACTTATCGACTATTTATTCAAGAAAATCGTTTAAAAAACGAAATGTATGAAGATTAACAAAATCATACAATTTTTTCCATTTGATAATAAATTTCTTAAATATGATTGGAGCATAGAAGAAGTGGATAACTGAAATCTTAATTTTTAAACTTTAGCATTACGAAATAGTGCCGCTCCAAATAATTATGCAAATTCGATAAGCCGATCATCGGTCGTGAACTTGGATCATCTTGAAGTGTCAAATAATGCAGTTTTAAATCCGAAACCGATGTCTTTTCATTTGTCAAAACCTGATGAGGCATTAAATCTTAGCTCAAGATAGCAATTATATTAAATTTGTCGGATCATTTCTTTGCATCTGTTCAAATTTGTTACTTATGATCAATTTAAAATGTTGCCTATTTAATTTAGTTATAATATTGAACCGGTATTTGTGGATAGTCGTTTATATTGAATTAAATTTTAATGATCAAATGAGTTAATTTTAAGTAATTTAACTGATGATTATTTCATCACAGTTATTAGAGTTCTTGAAAACTGTAGTTACAAAACTTCCAATTTATATATCAGGTAGTCTTTACTTCATTTTCCTATTATTGTGCATAAAGATATTCAACATATAGGTCAAATGTTCAATAATACTTTCAAAACTATAAAAGAAAAAATGTTTTGACTGAAATGATACTATGATAAAAGTGAATATGATAATGATAAATGGTAGTGATAAAAATAAATATGAGAACCATATTTGTAAAAATAATGATAGTAAAAATGACAGTACGATGAGACCGTGCCACTTGCATTTAAAATATGTAGAAAAAAATCAAAATTGCTTTCTTTTAAGCCAACAAGCGAATTTTTTAATAAATTCACTTCAGTTGAAACTTCACAGGAAAAACTATCAATACATAGTCGTATAGGACGGAATGCAAAACTTTCATCCAAAAGAAAAAAACGATAATCATCATCAAACAAATATTAAATTTCTTCTTAGCACGAAATATGTCACATATGTTAACTTTCATCCTCTTTTCCTCAACTTATTTATCTTTTCTCCATTATAACTACCCTACCGTATTACATTCTAAGACTGAATAAATGAAGGAATCATTCGAAAGCAACACATTTTTGTTAATTTAAATATGCATTTAAAAAACAATATATCCCAATCTACAAGTATTGTTTAATTTATTTATGTTTGTCGTTCTTTTTCTTTTTCGCCCCTAACTTCTTTTATTTTAAATCTTTTTAATTTATTCTCGAAATTTTTAATTACATCGTTGCAAAATTAGAATAATATTTTTTGAATTTACAAAGTTGAATGAAACCATAATCAATCATAATCATAATCGTTATTACTACAATAATTCAAACATCTTCATTTATGCTTAATGCAATGAAACCTAATGACAAGTTGCCAATTAAACTAGAATTTAAATTAGATCAAATCAATGATTCAGATTTCATCTTTTTCATGATGAAATTCCAAACAGCACTTTTCTTATTATTAACAATCAATGAATATTTATTGATAACAATAACAACAATTAAAATAAGAGGAAATGATGATATTGTAATAACATTCGTATTGTAATGAAAGAGAACTGGTTTGGCTTCATCGCTGAATGAATGTTTTTGCAATTATCCGTTAACATGTCACAGCTTTCACATTATTGTCATTTAATTAATCCCATATATTTGTCTCACAAACCAAATCACTCCCTTTCCTTCTTCTTCCTCTTCTACCTCATTTACCGGGCAAGAATGGGAAGAGTGGAAGAGTCTCGATTCTTTCATGATTCATCCATTTTCCCGATTCCTACTACACTTTTCATGTTCCGCAATCATATTGTCACTTTGATGAGCAGTATTATAATGCATGTATTGCATGCATAAAATGTAATACATGCATGCAATATATGTTTGTGATTCTCTTCCCATTATTTTTGGTTTGTCAATTTCAATGAAAGAAACAGCCGATTGTGGTTGATAATGAGAGATACAGCGACACATATTTTCCATTCTTTTATGTGCTAAAATTTTTTCATTCAAAATTAATTGTTCAAAATAAATGAAATAAGATGATTTGTACTTCGAAGCTTATTAAACCGTTTCGTTTCTCCCCCTCTCTTTTTTCTTATTATTAATTTCAATTTCTCGTCCTGTTTTGCTTTGCTTTTTTGTCATCTTTTTTCCACCAAATTACCGAAAGTTGAAAGAAAAATATGAGAGATAAGTTAGCAAATGAATAAGTTAAAATTCCATAAATAAGAAAACTAAAACATTTGTTTAAACAAATTTGTCATTGAAGTCATTCGTGGTTAATATTAGAATTTTTCATTTCAATAAGTAATTAAAATCACTTCGATGGTTGACTTTTTCATTGTTCATTTCATTTGTCAAAAAAAAAAACTTTTGCTTCCAATTGATTTACTAACTATGATTCACTTGTAAATTACCGTATCAAAAGAAAACATTTTGCAACTGAGAAAATCATTCAATGATATTTTAGATTCATAAATAAAAGTTGTTGGGCAAGATATAAAATGCAGCTTTCAAAATTATTTCTCATCATTTCCTGAAAAAGCTATCAATGAAGCGGAAAAATTCGAATGCAATCCAATTGAAGCTAATAAGCTCATCCAAACATTCAGAAAACAATCAAGTGAATTGCTTTTAGGACGAAGCACTGGTAGCTGGTAGTAACGGACGGTTGGAGTGATGATGAATGGATATTAATCATATTCAAACATCATACTATGACAATTATTCATCAGTTATGCATCCACGAGCAAACACATTAAAATCACTTGTTTTCACCACTTCAATACAACTAATATATTTATTGAATGACTGGTAATAAAGGAATCGCCGGATCCGGATAAAATAATTGAATTCAGATGAATCAATAAGAATCCTTCATCTTATACCTTTTTATTTGGTGTAATAACAAAGGTTAAGAAATATAAAATTTTATGCCACTTTAAAATTCAAAACTACAAATTAGTATATATGGGAAATTATGTCAAAAAATGATTTATTTTCTTTAAGTAAGGAATTTGAATTTCTAAGTGCAAGAAAATAAATTGAAAAGATATGATAATCTTATTTGTTCACAATTTTTGATGAAAAAGGAAAAAAATTTGGAAGGAAATTTCAGGAAATTTTGATTTATCATTATAAAGTTGCAAAAAGAAAAAAAAACAATATTTGTTGATATTTTACGAAATAAATATCGTAAATGTTTTGGAGATTTGGAAAGAAAAGAGGAATGTTTATTATAATCAGGAAAGTATGTCCTTCGGGAAAACCGGAACTAAATCAATCAGCTCTTTCCTCTTCAACTTAAATCTAATTCTTATCGGCTTTTTTTGTTCCAGAATTTTCTCTTACCTATTTAAATATTATCAAATTTCAAAGCAAAAAAGAAGATAAATTTGTTTTGCGTGAGGAAAATAGAAATTTTTCCAAACACTGGAGAGAAAAAAGAATAATTACATGAAGACAAATCAATTAAATCACTGCTAAAAAAATGCGTACATTTTGATACATGTCAAATTAACAATTTATTTCACAAAAAACATAAAAAATTAATACAATTTGCAGGAATAAAATTAGTCAAAATATTTTTCTCTGAAATTTTAAGCATAAAGCAACCTTACTAAAATCTAGTTATGACTGAATAATTGAAACGCAATAGAAATATCGATCGAATGGATAAATTAAAGTGAATAATTTAATCTTTTAAGCTTGTATGATACAATTTTCTATTGACCATTGATGATTGATTGTCACTGGATAAAGAGAAGTATGAGAGATTTCAATTGAATTTATGAGGAAGATGAAAGAGAACGCTGTTCAATGATAAGCCACTGAAAGCTGTACAATGACAAATTATTTGATGTGAGCGGAAAATTTTTAAATGATAAACGATTTGAAAGAATTAAACTTTGTGCAGAGATTAGGTATCTGATATAAATCTAAAATTAATTAAAACTGAGATGATTTAAATAATTTTAATACTTAGCTTTTTGCTCATAAAATTTTAAAAGAAACAACAAATAAATTAGACTAATTTGATATGTACTTAAAATAACAATCAAAAATTTTAAATTGGAAAATGCTCCAAAAGTATGCGCAAAAAATTATTTCCAAAATTTTCAAAAAAGAAAATTGAATTAAAAATTTCAAATGATACAATTCTGCATTAAGAAATGAGTTAATCATAGGATTGATTACTTTGAAATATAAAGGTGAAAAATAACATCAGTTTTGATAATAGTGATTGTATTGAATTAATTAGATGAATTCGTTCTTTTAATCAAATTCTATTGTGAAAATAAGAAATAAGCAATATTTTGATATATTAATTACTTGCGCTGAATAATGAAAAAACGAACAAATATGCAAGATTAAGGTATGATCAAATGCATATTACGCAGATTAATTATGATGTACGTGAATTACGTGGATTTAAACGTGTATTAATTCTTTTTATGTGCATGATTATTTAATGCTATTTGAAAATGTAAAAATATATGAATGATTGGAAACAAAAATTTTTTTTACTAGTTCTCGTTGTTTTATGAGATGCATGAAATTAAGTCTGTTTGTGTCCTTTTTTTCCATTTCTATTTCAAAATTTGATTTATCTTTATTATCAATTATTTTAAATTCCGGTATTTGCCAATTATTGCTGCAAATGCTTCGTCACTTTTCACATTTTCTTTTGCGCTATCACTGCCAATCATTTGTTGACGCCTAGAAACTTCTTTTTCATTAATGCGGTTCAATGTTTGATCCTTCTTTCCGGAATATTGCCGAATTTGCTTTTTCTTGCTTCCTTTTGAAGTTTCGGAACAGCTTATTGTTTTTGATGTTATTGACCTTTCACTGTCTTTTCTTCCAATTTTCATCTTATTTTTCAAATTTTTGGAGCTGTCGTCCTTATTGGATTTATGTGATTTTAATTTCAAATTTGCTTCCAAACTCTTCGATTTCTTCGTTTTTTTTGGGTCAGATTTCTTTGTCTTATCTTTTTTAGATTTCTTTCCGAATTTCTTCATCATTTTCTCATTTTTTACAGGTTTCATAGAAAAGCACATTTCGATTGTTTCAGATTTTTTTAAAAATGATGATGGATCTAATTTTTTTTCATCAGGAACCTGCGGTACATTCTCTTGCTTTGATAAAATGTTATTTGATGTGATGACTTTTGCCGAAGTATTAGTGAAGTTTGGATGCATTTCGCTTTCTGCACTTACTCGATTCCTTCCCGAAAGTGATGTGGACATAGAAATTTCACGATCAGAAGCTTTTTTGATATTCAAGCATGTAGCAGCATTTGAAACTTGATTGGACTTTTGCAAATTTCTTAAATTTTCTTTCTTTCTTTTTTCCGACGATTTTTTAGAATCAGTAGTAGTACCATTTGCAATCTTTGTAGTTTGTCCGCTACTTTTATAATTTTTACCATCGAATTGATCTTTCTTTGATTTTTTGCTTTCTGAGGAGGAAGATATTAATGATGATGATGGTGGAAATATTTTGGTTGATTGTTGATTTGATTCTTCACTTAAATTTCGTTTTGTTTTGTGACATTTTGAAATATTTGAAAAATGCTCAGTCATCGATTTTTTCGTTCTTTTCAATTGTTTGTTTGCTTTTTTTTCACTTTTTAAAAACAATTCCTTTTCATTCTGGATTTTCTTCTTTAATTGACGATTTAATGCTTTCTTTAAATTTTTTCGATTTTTATTTTCCATTCTTTGCAAACCATCCATTTTTATTAGTTGATCTTTACCTCTTTTTTTTCTATTCATTATCATTCTTTTATCTTTTAGCTTGTTTTGCGTAGAAATTTTCTCAGTTACTTCAGATCCTGAATCTCTTTTCTCCGATTTAGATGATTTTTCCATTGATTGCCTCTGATTGTTAATAAAAGTGGAATCGTTGCTTACTCTCTTTTGTGAATTGGAATGATAAGATTTGTTGCCATCATCCATCTTTTGATGTTTCTTTGATAATCGACGGTTAGTTTTATCCAAATATTTCAGTTTATTTGTATGGCTTCGCTTATCCGATTTTCGTTGTCTCATCCTACGATCAGATGATAATTTCCGCTGACGTTTTGAACTTCTTAATGTGTCGCTACTGCTAGTCAGCGTTCCTAAATCGTTTGATCTGAAATTTATTTCATTTTTATCCTTTTTAAAAAAAATAATAACCATCAAATAATAACTATTGGTGTATGTCATTTTTATATGTGTGTCACAAAAGAACATGTAACGAAAAAGTTAGTCCCTTTATTCAATTGATATATGAATATATCATTGTAAATACCTGCTCTCCGAAGTTGTAGATCTCTCAGATTCAGATCTTTGTTTTGGAATTTTTGTAGATGTTAGCTTGAAATCCTGCAACAATTTTTCACTCGGTTATAATAAAAATAATTTTATTTTAAATTATTCTAATCGCATTGCTAATTGATTTATTGTGAGGATAAATGCAAAATAACGCCGAAAAAGCACTATTCAACAATATGAATTATGATACATTAGTTTTTGAAGTTATTTGAATACTTAAAATTAAATTATAATTTAATGAAAAAACAAAAACTTTTTAACCATTTGTTGCAAGCGTTGTTTCAAATCTTCTTCAACAATACTTCTTGCTGTTTGATGGCTTTTTCGGTTTTGTAAAATTTGATTCGAGGAAGCATACGTTTTAGCTGTTGAAATATCATTCGATCGAGCAGTTGAGATGTCATCCGATCTATTATAATTTCATCTGTGTGTGGAATATGTATTCTGATACTTTTATCATTATAAAATAACTGATATTCGATTACGATCGTACAGTGAAATAATGTTATTTTAAAAAAGCCTGGAAAAACTTATTAAGCTGAAAATTTTTTGATAATTGTGTTAAATAGAAATAAATGAATGCTCCAGTAGTAACCGTTTAGGAGACTTCAACAATTTATTTGTTGTAACTCTCCGGTTGTCGGTTAGTTGTTGTCTTTTAGATGAAATTTCTTGTGGTCGTACTTCTGAAGTTATATATATGCAAGGGAACATTAAATAAAATATTTTAGAACTTATCAAATTATCAAAATCTTCCAAGAAATTTAAACATACTTTGACGTAAATCTAATTTTTGTTGAAGCAATTCCTTCTTCCGTTTTTTGGCTGATTTAAATAGCCATGAACCTGGGCTTTCTTTCATTGACTAAATAACTTATTCATATCGAATAAACTTTTCAATTGCATCATTTTCTTATCATTTAAATGTATTAAAATTTATTAGAAATTAAAAAAGAAATTTACCTCCGTATTTGTTTTTGACTTTTCATTTAATGATCGTTCGGCTCTAAATTAAGTTATTGATTTTATTCATGTTAATTTTTCAAATCAGTAATTTTTCTCAGAAGCAAACTTAATAATTTCCTTCCTAATGATATTACTGAAGCAGTAATTTTAACATTTATAATGATAATATGAAATCAACTTTTAAAAGTTTATTTGATTACCAAGAAAGTATTTTAAAATAAATGATAGGTGACAAAACTTGGCAATTATTAATTGTTCTAAATTGTCATAGTATGATAATATGACAATTTTCTATATTGGAATATTATTTTATTAGCCATAAATTATGATGTATTAGTTATTTTCTTGTAATTATTTTGATATCGGTGGTCTGGAAAGATTACTTCCCAAAACAGACCGAAATTAAATGAGTACCATTTCTTATCAAAAATGCTTAACTTAATTACTATGTGATTAATGTAATCATTACGTTCAATTTTCAATTATCGAAATTCTTATAATTTATGGGATTTCTTTTTATTTCGATATTTATAAATTATGAAAATTTTGCTGTGAAGACTTGTTGATTTTGAATAAAGGGATATTTCGAGATATTTCAAACAATTAAATGAAATAACCTGCGAGAAGCATTAAATGTTTTGTTGAAACTCTCTAAATTTCCTTTGTCTTCTGAAAATTTTGAATTTTTTGTTAATGATAAAATAACTCGTAGTAATAAACACATTTATTAATAAATGATCAATAAATTTGATGGTGGAATAAAAATTTCACTAAAATTTTCAAATTTCAAATTTTCACCCGACGATACTTCTTGAGTTGGTTCTGCGCGTAAACTTTCTAAAATAAATTATAATAACTTGGATATTTTCATTCAACAGATGTAAATTAATAAAAATTCAGTGGAAGTGGAAATTTTTTAAATTTTACAATTTTACTAAATTTATTTAACTCTTTATATATTAGGTTTTTCATTTTTTATTTTGGCATTATGTTCTTCTTGTGTACATCTTTAAACATAGTTAAGTGTGTGAGTAAGAAGTAACATTCTTAAGTAATATTCAATATTTTTAATGTTTTACTGCGAATTTTAGTTTCATTAAAATTAGAATGATTGAATTGATTTTGATCTTTATGGGACGATTTTTCTTTACTTCAGTTTTTTTTCATACCTAATTCTTTTTTTCTTCGAGTTCTAGGACTCACAGAAAGTTCATATAACTTAGCTCGGAATGAGCTCGTTTTTTTTGCTTCATTTTTCATTGCCTGAAAAATTGCCAATCCATAATAACTGCAAAATTTTCCAGCAAAAGCATTCATTTGCATATTATCATTTTTACATGACTCTTATCAGTGACGATGTGGAAAACAATTCAATTTTCTATCTTTTATTATAAAATTGTATTTGCTGAATGCAAAAAATAAAGTAACCTGCAATTGTCGACCGTCGTGATTTTTATAATTATAAATTCTACGTTGGCTATCATTTCTATCACTTCGATAATTAGTTTTATCATTCTGTCGCTGATAATGATCAATTTCTTCTCCTTTCAACCGTTTACGTAACACATCCCGAATACTTTCAGCATCTACACGTTTCACGTCCTTCAGTTCTTGCTTACTTCTTCTTTTATGCTGCAAAAAGAAAAAAAGGAAATGTGAAAAGTTTCCACAATTTTTTTCCATTTCAATTAATATGTTTAATTTTGACATATCTTTCAACTAAACTCAAAATTAAAATTACATAACTATCCGACCCGTATGATAGGCCTTACTCGTTTTTGACGTGATTCTTCTCTTTCATTTCGTTTTTTTTGCTCTTCACCATATAATGCATCAAATCTTAAAATAGAAAAAAACAAATAGGTGATTTGGTATTATTTTATATAAAATCAATTTTGCATTCATTCACTAATAATGTAGAATATGAACTGAATTTTGCTAAGATGTAAAACGTGATTTAATTCTTTAAATTGTAGAATATTTACCTGAAAGAAAATAAATTAATTTTTAATTTTGTTTGTTAATTATTAAATAAAACTTAAATTGTTTCAAGCTATATCCACACTATTTGTACTATTGATTTACTGATTTGCTATCATTTCCGTTTCATTGCTTCGATAGATCGCTTAGTTTTTCATTTATTCTTTCTTGTCTAATTTTATTTTAACAAAACAAGAATTTGCATGCATTTCAAAATTCATATTCCTTATCAGAAGTAAAATATTTGAAGAATTTTCACTTACTCTTCTCCTCTTCCAGGATCCATTCCTGCAAAAATTTCCGAATATATAAATTCTGCAATTTCATGCATGCATAAAAGTTTTTACCCTGATAAAAATTAAAATAGCAAATTTGGACTTTTTTCGCTAAAATATTTCGAATATTTATTTACAAAGAAAATAAATTTTTTGGATTAACTTTCTGTATTTTTTTGCGCATTAATTGGTTGAAAAATTCAAGTTTTTAAAAACAGTTTAAAAACTGCTTTTTTATTTCCTTTTTGTCTCCCCTAATTGACGTTTATTTTTGCAGAAAAGGAGTAAAAATTAGAAACGAGCTTGTAAATGAAAAAAACACTCGTATTGCTAAAGAAAAAAGAAACAAAAAAAAAAAATTATTTTCTTAAAAAATAAATTCTGTTAAATTTACGATACGAGTATTTTAACATATTTTAAAAAGTAAATGTAAATTAATCTATCGTTTACATATATCCTATTACTTAGTAATATCATGCTATTCTAATAATGTTATAAAAAATTAGAAATAGAATTTGCACATTGATAAATTTTAAATTATCATTGTTGGATTGATTAAAACAACAACATTTATGATTGAATGAAACAGTAAATTCTATCCTTTTCTGTAGCATTCAATTATTTGCCGTAATTTTATTGACTCCAAAGTTCTTTAAAATTTAATTAATTTGGTCAATTAAAATTGTTATTGTTATTGATAGCTTTTTTTTTTCATCTTCTAATGCAAAGAATTTGAAACAGAATACGATGAAAATTGAAACCATCATGATTGCGCATTCGTCGTAACTGTTCCAACTGAGCCATTTGTCTTCGGTGTAAGAGAGATTCGAAGTGTTCTCTTCGACGTTTACCACTTTTACAAATCCAAACAATTATCGTTGATATAAACCAACACAACGATAACGAAACAAATCCTTACCGAAAAATATTGAAAATTTGAAATGTTTAAATTTTTTAATTTTCGACGAAAAATTAATTTTG